GGGGGGGCAATCATTTCTGATCTGTAACTCCAAACACAAACACACACACTACCTCCTACTAAACAGGAAAGTAATGTTGCACTTGCAATATTTTGAGTAGGAAGCATTGGCACGCTTCTTTGTTGTTTGAGGATATTTCCACTGGAGCAGAACTAGATAGACATCCTACCAAAGGTTTGTATACAAATACAATAAATGGGCCAAAAGATAAGCAGAGATTCAAAAAATGACTACAGGAAGAGCCCTGAAGCAGAAATAATATGCAACGCGCTCTTTTTGGGACATATTTGCATCTTACTGGAAATGCCGCATTAATTTCACTCGAATCGCAGCCTACCCACATTGTTTTTTTTTTTTTTTTTTTTTAAATGTCCGTGAGCAGTAAAATAAGAGTTCTTGTGAAACTTTTAGACTGGTCAAAATGCGATTCCTTTGAGCAGAAAGTCTCCTGAAGAAAATGATGTGATGAAGGAAGATGAGTGAATTGATAACACTGTCAGATAATTTTTCATACAATGATGAAAACTTTTATCTATAATTAACAGAATATTTGCACAAGGTGAGACTACAGAGAACTTCTGGTTGAATTAAAAAAAAAAATTAAGAAACAGGGAAAGCTGGCCACAGGATGAAAGAATAGAAAACAGTGATACATTTAATTTTAAAAAATGGCATTCGATACTTTGTTGCTTTCTTAGATTGAAGTGAAGTGAAGCTTACTGGCAGAGGCAATCCATCTTCTCTTTAATAGCCGTTTTCCTTTTTGGAACAAATCCTAAACAGAAACTGAACTGTCGAAACAGCGTAGCACAAAAAACAAAAACAAACAAAAAAACGAATGTGATTAAAGAATGGCTAATTTCAATGTATTTTTTTTCGGTATTGTTCAGGCTTTTGTGGCTGAAATAAATAACCCTCAGTACTTCTGTTACATAAACACGAACATTTACCACTAATGTATATATAGACCACATGCAAATCTTCGAGTCGCGCGGTGCATTATGGGTAAGGAACTCGCTTTGGCTCTCAAGTGTTCCTTTCTAATTATTGTGGAGCAGCATACCAAGCTGTGATTTGGACCATTTCAACCGATTTTTTTTTTTTTTTTTTTTTTAAATAAATTGAATCTGTGTCGTTGGATAATCTTTAAACACGACACCCTCTGCCGGCACACGACAGTGAGCAGAAGCGCAAGCGGCTTATTATAAGTCTTGCTCCTAAACTTTGCCTGCGTTTAGTGCAAACCGCGACATCCAAAGCAGTAAATTCGGCCCGGTCTTTCAGTTGTGACACTGTGCCGCAAATACTGGCACGCAAACCCTCATTATTATGACACGCAGGTAGCGAGAAAGGACACATCATTACCCCCGCATGCCGCAATTTTTTTTTAATAAATTGAATCTATGTCGTTTGATAATCTTTACACACAACGCCCTCTGCCGGCACACGACAGTGAAACACGATTTACGTTTTGACTGACAGAAGCGCAAGCGGCTTATTATAAGTCTTGCTCCTAAACTTTGCCTGCGTTTAGTGCAAACCGCGACATCCAAAGCAGTAAATTCAGCCCGGTCTTTCAGTGTGACACTGTGCCACAAATACTGGCACGTAAACCCTCATTATTATGACACGCAGGTAACGAGAAAGGACACATCATTACCCCCGCATGCCGCAAGGACACCGTAGAAGACAGACGTTAAAAAACAAAAAAAATATCACCGGCGAAAATGTAAGCAGAAGAAATGAGAAATAGCTCTCAGTGTGTGTCGGGGAAGAGAGCTGTGACTTGTGGGAGTGCAAACAACTCGGCGAGGATATGGTGTACTGCGGCTAAAAATGACTTTATTTTCCCGTTAATGATCAACGATTATACTCGAATTACAGTCCATGCTACTGTTGTCCTAACTGCGTGCTCCTGTCTTGACATCACCTTTTCATGCACCCTGTAACCTGATAACACAGTCAGCTGTCCACTGTAGTGACCGCTGTCCCTCAAAGGGTTAAGTAATGCGGTTCTCCTGCCTCATAGTGAAGCTTTGAGTTCATTTGGAGAGTCCACTTCAATTATAAGTCATGGTTCCTCGTCCAATGGGTTAAGGAGTGTTGGCGTAGCAACGGCAGGGAAAAAAATCAGCGGAACAGGTAGCAAAGTGGTGTTACCCGCGCGATGAGAGTCGGCGCGGATGGTTTGTAGCCGTGACGGCCGTCTGATTCATTAGAACTGACGAGTTGTCAGTGTGTCGACTACCTGCCAGGGTCATGATGAAGGCCTGAGCACGAAGTCGAGGAAGGTTAACACCGGAAGGAAACGAATACAAGGGAGTTGTTTCAGACAAGCACATAGTTGTGGGTCGGAGGAGAAAGGGTGGCGGGTTGTCAGAGAGACAGCAGTTAAGGGATGTCTTTGCACCAGGACAGAATTTTGAGTGGGTCCGTAGTTCTCTAAAGTTGCAAGTGAAGTGACCAAAGTGTCGGCAAAAGGGATTCTTAAAATACAAACGTACATAAAAGAGAAAACATTTGCTTGAAAACATCCCTTAATCACAGAAGAGTCTGAAAGGGCATCACAAGCCCACGGTTGACAAATATTAACAACATCGCCTGATCTTAATCCCTAGAAGGGTGAGGAAAAACTCCAAAAACAATTAAAAATGTTAAATTCGCGTAATCCTGAAAGATTTGATTTTGGCTCCCACCCCCTTTATTTTTTGGGGGTTCACATGACGGTGCTCGATTATTATTATTGGTACAGCGTAAAGCCACTATTTCAACTTTATGACCTCTAGAGTTCCTCATAGTGAGGCAAATAACGACGTATTTTCCGTATTATAAGGCGCTTCGGAGTATAAGGTGCACCTTCAATGAATGGCCTATTTGAAAACTGTTTTCATATATCGAGCGTACCGCATTTTAAGAAGCCCCAATAGGGGCAGCGGGTGCATTATGCATCCACTAGGTGGTTCCACGCTAAATGGAATACAATACAATACAGCTTTATTTTTCTAGCGCTTTCACAACCGCTGGAGCTGTAACAAAGTGCTTTATAGAACATTTATAATACTCCATCCAAGAAATCAGAATATTGATCCATATATTAGACGCATCGGATGATAAGGTGCACCGTCGGCTTTTGAGAAAATTGAATGCTTGTGGTGTGCCTTATAGTGTGGAAAATATGGTACTTGTATGTACGGTAATGCTGTACCAAAATCATTCCAAACTGGCTTTTCAACACTTACACAACCATCAACACGGAATAAATCATTTTGAAAACTAATATGTGGTTTTAAGTGTCCAGTTTTCACTACAAAATACAACAAACCCAAGGTCTTCCCCCCCTCCCCCATAAAGCGCCACCTACTTTGTTCAGTCTTCGGCTTACTTTACCTCAATGTTACAAGACTCGTATGTTTTACAGTAATGGGGGCAAGTTGAGTTGTATGGGAAATGCCACATTAACATGTAATAAGAATCTAATTAGTTTGCCCTTTGGGAAAAGAAGAGCACGTCTGTGATAGTCAGCAAAGAGACTAATTGTCTGTGAAGGTTGCACGAGTTTCAAGCGCTGAGCTGTGGCGAACTTATTTCCAAATATTGTTTCATGGTGGCTATGAGGTTTAACTTTATCCCCGTCGTCTGTCACACAATGACTTAACAAAAAACACTTGAGGGGGTACACTGGAAAAACACAAATACATGAACAAGGTCAAGAAAAGCACATCAAACCAAAGTAACAAACAACCCCCCCCCACAAAAAAAAGCCTATGACAGAAACAGACAACATGATAGGAACACAACGAACTGAAAATAACTGACCGAACCCCGGCGACTAAATACCAGCGAGGTGACGAGACAATGAGAAACACCTGGACAAGGCACAAAGGGTTGAGGGAGCTGATTGGTTAACACAAATGACCCGCATAACGAACAGGTGGAGACGAAAAGGGCACACGAGGGAACAAAACCAAATGTAATCTAAACAAAAACATAACACCGTCTACTTTAAAGAGTCGCTATCTACAATATTTTTTTTCCCCCGCCCACAGTTGAAAATACTGTTCCGCCTTGTGCTCTACTTTTAGTTCCTCATTGAGTGGCAGGGGAGCAGTTATTTAGAGTCTTAAGTATATTAGGGGTCAGGTGGGGATGATTCTTTTGAAAAGTCCATTTTCTTCATATTAGATATTGGATTTTATTCCTAATGTGGTCCCACAAATAAAACATTATCTTCATGTCAAGTAAAACTGAACTGTAGAGAAAATACAGATAAATGCTAAGCCCTAAAGCTAATTAGTGTGTGCGTGTGTGTGTGTGTTTGTGTGCGTGCGTGTGTGTGTTTGTGTGTGTGCACGCACAGTGCCAGCATCATACAAAAATCGCAATTGCAGCGTTGAGGACAAAAATCGCAGTGAAATTATTTTCCAAAGTTATTCAGGCCTGGTCAGTGCTGCAGTTTAGTTTCGCAATGGTTTTCAAATGCTTTAGGAGTCACACCGTTGATCTGAGATGAAGCAAAAGGAGCTAAACAGTTTTGCGATGACTCGGGATAACCTCCCTTTTTCTCGTCAGAAACAAAAGCAAAATGTAACCAGACAGACTGATAAAGGATTGCTCGAGCCATGAATCACACAAACGGCGTGACGGAGAGGAGTCACCTTCAGACACAATTCATTTAGGAAGGACAAGCTGGACACGTGCTTGACAAGATGCGTGACGAGCCCACGTTTCACAGTTGGTGATTGTTTATTCACTGTTAGGACTGTTTTTTTTTTTTCAAGAATCCAATATGTCACATACAGTTCTTTCAGTGTGGGCCATACATGACGGTACACCGGCGTGACTTTCTTAGAAATAACAGATTGTCTAGGATGCTCTGAATCATCATTATTATTATTTTTAAATTGAGGCATATGCTATTAAAATTTGTCAAATTAGTCGCCTTGAGTGAAGTAACAGAATCAAAATGGGAATCATTATATAAAGGGGAGTTGGGGGCGGGGCTGAGAACACAGCTCAAATCAGTAGCAACATAGAGAATCCAACCCAAAAATCATTTTTTACAATGTTTTACGGCAATAATATCCTACTGAGACGTCCCCGGGGGCAATTCCTTATCTACACACCTTCATTTCCAGGTAACCAGATCCAACACACATTCTTCCTTAACATCATGCATCGATCTGGTTTCTGGAGGCAAAGCAAAAAAAAAAAGCAAAGAAAATGTATTTATACAAAGTGATACTGTACATATAATACTGCTAAATAAAACTTTATATTGGTAGAAAAATTCCTCCAAGAAGCTATCATTACAGTACAGGGCATAGCGCGACTCTGCAAAAGCAAGCGGAGGACAAACAATACAATAAAAAAAAAAAATGTAAATAAATAAAAATAAATAAAAACTAAAAAAATGATGATATATTGAGAAAAAAAAAGAAAAAGTACGGGACGCACAGAATATGAAACGGAACCTCAATTAAATATAAAGAACAAACACCGAAGTTAAGCAACACGATCACGTTCACATTTCGTCTTTGTGGTGGCGCCGTGGCGCTCAGTCGCTCGTCCTTTTCTCACCGCCGCCGTCTCGGGTCCAAAGTTCTCTCCCGTTGCGCGAAGCAAGAGCCAACGTTCGCTTTCTTCGTCAACGTTTCGTTTCCTTGGACTTCCCTTCTTCATTCCGAAGGCATTCAGGTGAGTTTCACTGAAGTTCTCAGAATCACCGACCGGCTTCTAGGCAACGTTCTTGGCGGCGTTCTCGTTCAACTTTTCCATGTAGTTCCTAAGATCCTTCGAATCCCCGAGCTCAATGTCGGGACAAACCCACTTGATCTCGCTGCTTTGCATTAATGCTAACGGACTCAGGACAGGACAGCCATTACTGGATTTGATGTTGGAAAAGGTGGTGAATTTCACTCTCTTTCTCTTGGTTGTAGGCGAGTTGAGCGACTCGCTTCTGGGATCCCTGCATCCTCCCGCGCTAGCGTTCCCGTGCTGGGCGCCTCCGTTTAAAAGTTGGCTCCCTTCTTCGGGCGTGCCGCCCAACTCATCCGGTTGCTCTTGCTGCAGGCAGAGCCCCTCCTCTTGGCCCAACCAAACCCAGTCGTGGGAATGAGGCATCGTCTCCTGGGCCTCCAGGGACAGGTGCTTGCTTCGGTACTTGTACGTGTAAGAGATACAGTTAATGAGGAACACAAGGATGGCCAGGCAGAAGACTCCCAACAGGGCGTACATTCCGATCTCCAGGTCCGTCATGGCTCTTTGGGTGGGCAGATCGTCATCGGTGCTGCGGCTTCGCGGATTCTCAACCTGGTCCGGGTAGTCTGAGAATTCACTTTGGATTTTTTCCCCGATGCCTGCAGACAGTCGCCCCCCGTTGACCCTCACGGGAACATGGGCCCTGACGGTTGCAGCTCCGCGGTTAATGAGCCCCGTTTCCATATCAGAAATAGAACCGTCATAATAAGGAGCATCGGGCCGTGTACGCCGCTCTCCTGAGCGTTTATTGAGCTCCTCGGGTCCTCCAAACCTCACCTGTACGTTGGCCATCCCGGTGGCCAAGGCTCCGTGCTTCTTGACATTCTGGCACATCTCGGACATGCTCATTTCGACGCGGACTAGCAAACCTTGACCTTCGCCCTTTGCCACGATGACCGGCCACCTCCAAGCTGCGTTGCGCTGCACCGCGACCACCCGCTCGTCCAGCGAGGTGGCTGTCAGGGTGAAATGGGCTGGGTTGTAATTCTCGAGTGGAGTCATTGAGCCATCGCTAAACTGGAGCCAGGCACTGATGAAGGACTCCTAAGGGAATTAATATAGAGGAGCTTTTTAGTTGTCTTCGAAAACGTTCTTTTTTTTTTTTTAAACCATGTCCTAAAGGGTTCATGTCGACAAGAAGTCTGCGTTAAATGGACACTTCAAACTGTATGCAAAAAAATATAATAATAATAATAAGAAGAAGAAGAAGAATAAATAACGGAAAGAGTTTGGAGATAACAGCACAGGACAAATCAGATGAGGCACTAACTCATTCTCGGAACCCTCACCAAGGCTTCAGTAACCCAGTATGCAAACAAACTCCGAAAATAACTCTGGAAAAACAATATACCCCCAAAAAATATAAGGAAAAGGGAAGCAGCGAATTGCAAGTGCATCCTCATTATATGAGACACAAGAAGGAAATTGGCAAAATATCTCCTGAAGACAAATAATATTCTCTCTCCAAGGGGAAAGCCGGTTGCCGACTGCCATTTGAAATGATAATTATCACAATAACAAAGACGTTCACTGGTTGTATATGCAAATCAAAGCGAAGGAGTCCCAATGTTAATTAATCATGGGAATAAAAATCAAAAGAACACAGCTTTAATTATCACCATGACTTGAACTTGTTCGCCAAACGTACAGAGTATCTCAGTTTCAATACAGAATATGCCGCGTGCACTTTTTTTCGGCTTTCACTCCAAGTGCACGAGAAAAACAACAAAAAAAAAAAAAAACAATGGTTGTACCTGTTGGGCCGCTTCGATGACTTCCTGCGTGGTTGCTGTGGCGACAATGGCGCTGTTACTCCCCGGGCTGAGGTGCAGGGACAGCGAGAGTCCTGAAACCAACTGCACCCCGAGTTCTGTCACGCTCACTTTATCATCCAGCACCCTGATTGTCCTCTCAGCCAGGACCAGTGATGTCAGAGGAGACAGCACCTGCAAGACACGGGAAAAAAAAAAAACTTTTTTAAACATAAAGCTAAATATGCTGAATGTTAGCCAAGTGAAATCTCAGGACAATGCACACGCTACCTGTATTTTAGTCATCCCGGCGCTTCGTCCAATTACGACTTGGCCCTCCCACAGTTGCGCAATCTTTGGGTCGTCCACCCTCAGAGAGTCCTTCACCAGTTGCGTCACATCCACCTGCCAGTCGCTGCCCAACAGGAAGGTGTGCTGGCCTTGCTCGTCCTCGTCGCCAGTGTCGTGAACCTCTTCGCTTTCGGACACAAAATGTGTAAGAACTTGCAGCGTGGTGCTTTGGTACTGAGCGACGCAGGAGTTCTCGATCCGCTCCTCGGCTGCGTCGCCGTCCTCCTTGATGTCATACCTGAGGCAAGAGCAAGTAGAAATCAAGTACAATCTACTAAAGGTGGTCTTTCAAAGGGTCAAAGTGGATTTTGTTTGTGTGGCATTATTACAGTCAAATCCTTTCTGATCCTTTGTGGTGCTCTTTGGATTTCTGACCACTAACAAGTCACCGGACTTTCTCAGATCCATTTAAGGCAGCTTCAAGAGATAACCTGTTGCTGTGCTTGCATTCTCATTTTTTTGCAAAAGGGTACCCATAATCTTAATATTCGGGTGCCATTTCATCTGCTCGTGGCATGTACCCTTTGGAAGACGGAAAACTTGTTGACAAATCCAAACATTATGCTCCGTCTCTCTTCAGTATATATTGATTTTTTTGAATCACAAAGACCTCTCTCTCTCTCTCTCTCTCTCTCTCTCTCTCTCTCTCTCTCTCTCTATATATATCACAACTCCGTGTTACTGATGTCATGAGATTGTGGTGACCTACCAGATGAAGTGTCCAGGTTGTGTATGATGCTAGTGCCGTATTTTCCGCCCTATAAGGCGCACCTAAAAGTGTTCTTTTTCACAAGCCGACAGTGCGCCTTATAATCCGACGCGCCTTATATGCGGATCAATATTCTGATTGTGTATTTTAAATGCTTTGTAAAGCGCTGTGTTACAGGTGCAGCGGTTGTGAAAGCACTTGACCAGGGGTGTCAAACTCATTTTTGTCGCGGGCCGAATTATAGTTACCGTTTCCCTTGGAGGGCCGTCATGATTGAAACTATATAAAAAAGTCAAGAATAACGTTTTATTCAACTATTGTTTAAGTAACTGTAATGAGGGGTTTGGTAACAAGAAAATGCTTTCAATATGTCACTGATTTATTCCATATGAACATTTTAAATTTGAGTTCAGATTTTAGCGAGCATCGTGGAAGTTGTCATCTTTGAAATGCTTTCACGGGCCACTTAAAATGAGGCTCCCGGGCATTGAGTTTGACACCTGCGCTCTAGATCAATAAATCTATATTGTATTGTATTGTATTCCCTTTAGCGTAGCTCAATCTCATGGATGCAGAACGCAATCACAGCCACTATTGTAGCTTCTATTCTATGCGCCTTATAAAGCGGTGCACCGTATATATGGAAACAGTTATATATATATATATACTTGTAATAAAAACAAACACAACCAAAAAAACAACCTCATGCCTTGTTTGGTGCTTAAAACAGATGCCAGTTAACGTATGTGTACATAATAATGCAATCTTAATTCTCTTGTTGCCGATTGTGAGATGAATGATCTACTCCTTCCATATGCTGTATTTCTGATCAATTCCTCCTTGTCCTGTTGTCTGAATATCGTTTTTTCTGTGTGTGTGTGTGTGTGTGTGTGTGTGTGTGTGTGTGTGTGTGTGTGTGTGTGTGTGTGTGTGTGTGTGTGTGTGTGTGGCGATCGTTTCTAGTGCTGCAGTGCTATCGCACAACTGAATTCCCACCACAGGGGCTCAGGATCCCCTCCGCATCATAGCAGTCGCAACTGAGATCAGATTAATGCCTGGGGTCAGGCCGTGTTGGGTTCACCGAGTCAACGATCCAAGATTGCGAGAGTTAAACAAAACATTTGCGATCAATCTTCGCGCTTCCATATGCGACATGAGATGATCCGTTTCTGGGTTTTTCTTCAGCACGTGGACTCATATGCCTCCGCAATGCGATGATGTAATCCCTGCTCAACCTCGGGCAAGGGAGGGTGGGGAATGAAGGGGCTGTATTTGTGTTAGCGTGCCTCCTAGTGGGGCGGTCAGCAATTAATATATCATTTGAAAAGACTGAACCACAAATACAGATGACTGACATGCTTGACCATGATTTGAGTATTGCAGGACATCATTACTTTCTGTCAACATATTTCTCATATTCATCTTTACTCCTAAAAGAGTTGCAGCAAAATGAACAAAACACACACATCAATGAGCTTATAAAGAATACAGAAACACAATCTGCTCAGTAAGTGTGCCAAGGGCTAAGAAGAGGCCTGACCTCTGCTGTCCCGTAGCGAGAGGAACCCTCCAGCCTTTGACTTGATTGAGTTCAGGGTCGGCCACGTCGATGAGTAAGGGGAGGCGGGGCATCCACACGCTCATCTCCAGCTGTGCACTCAAGAAGCTGTAGGTGAAGTTGAGCATCACCTGACTCTTTCCTCGCGTCTCTTTCCCATTCACAAAGACGTAGTCACATCTCTCCGACACCTTGGAATCAACAAAGCGGGGAGAGGAAAAAAGGGAGACAAAAATGACAGAAAAATGATGGAAACCAGCAAAGTCAAAAACAGTGATATAAAACAATGTGTTTTGAATCGACTATTTTATGAAATTATTTTGCGGTGAAGATCGTTGCCCATTGGTGTGACTAAGAATACACAAGCTAACACAAGTTCCACTCAAAGTGTTCTGTGAGTTTGTATGCGCAGGATCATATAACTGCAAGAACCACGACAACGGCCAACACAGCAGATGGAGCTGGGAAATGAAACAGCCGCGTTTGATCCCACTAGAAGGAAAACCATAAGCTCAAGCTAAATTGCTGAATGGTGGGATGAATTTGAACGACCACCAAGTTGGCTGATGTTCCCTCATTGACTTCCAGTCACGACGCATCCAAGACACACCACCACAGGTGTCCATCCTTCTCTCGAAAACACCCAAATCTGCAGACGCACAAATACTTAACAACCTGTCCAACAATTTCATTTGCCATTTCGTCTCCAACACCGCCGTCAACATTTGGACAACGGCCCCAAATGTTTCGAACTAATGGGTGTCAGTCAGGCTCGCATCTTTGCATAAATTATATGACAGACTTCCTCTGAGATGGTGTCACAGCATGGAAGAATCAAGCTGACAGAGTCGCCTCCACCCGCTGCTTTGGATGCTGAGCTCCTGACAGATCGACTATTGTGCTTAAAGCGAAGGACTTTCATCATTTTAACTTTGGAATGATAAGTTGATTGTTAAAATTGTGAGCGTGTCATATCTGGGGGATTACAGTAGCCTTCATTTACTGCTTTCCTTATGCTCATACACGCGGTTTTCTGTTTCTTGGTGGATCTGAGGCCAAGTGAGTTGGTCACATGAAAAATTGGATGTACCGTATTTTCCGCACTAAAAGGCGCACCTAAAAGCCTTCCATTTTCTTCAAAGCTCACAGCGCGCCTTTGTGTATGGTCATTCCGGGAATATTTCGACCTCAAAATGGCTTCTTGCTCGAGACATGCTGACAACGCAGAGTTCAAACTTAAGGCGATCGGTTACGCAGTTGAACACGGAAATAGAGCAGCGGCAAGAGAGGTCAACGTTAACGAGTCAATGTTATAACTTGCTGTTGGTTAAGTGAACCGCGTCGCTGCTTTATTAAATAAGTTTTACTGACATCTGATCGTTCTGTTGGCGTTTCCTTGAGTGTTGCTCCATCTAGTGGATGCATTGTAGATGGCATCTTATAAAGCGGTGCACCCAATGTATGAAAAAAAGTTACAAAATTGGCCCTTCATTGAAGGTGCGCCTCTTTATCCAGTGCGCCTTTTAGTTTTTTGGGGGGTTGCCTTTGAGGAGGATGACCTTTCAGGCAAAGGAAACACTTTCTGCTAAAAGATAACCACAGGATTGGGTCTTCCTAAGACAATATTAGACTTAATTATTTGAGCAAACATATACGTATCCGATAACGGCAATTAGACATTCAGTATCTCAGAGCAATTGAAAACAACGCAATGGATGCAGTGACAGAACTTAAGTATATGCAAGCGAGATTATTTTAAAATCAGACACCAAGGTCACCGTCATTGTGTGTAACGTTACACTTCAGTGGATGATTAAAGCCGACGCTTCTCTCTGTTACGCTAACTGCTTGTCTATGAAAACAAAAACAAAAAAACATGCTAGAAGAGCTCAGCCAAGGGCTGTGGCCGGACTTTGATGATGGCTCGAGAAACGTTTAGCTCCCACAGGACTACTGCGGTGTGTGTTATTCGCTGGAAATTATATGCCACACATGCCACACTTACCTTAATAACTTGCTCATCGGTTGACCTGCATTCCACCGATTCGGTTACGTCTGATACCGCCCCGTCTGTTCCCACGGTGACAACCTTTACGGGCACAGCGACTGTTCGACCGGTGAGTACTGCTGTGTTAAGGATTTCGGTGTCCTGTGAAACAAAAGGGAAATGCACTCTAGCAGTTTGGCAAAGGGACACACAACTATCTCACTTTTTTTTCTCCATTTAATTTTAAAGCCGTATTTCGGCGCTTCATACAGGATTGGCGTATCGTAAAATAAACTGTTTGTATTCGACTTTGTAGATTCCAATGTGTAGCCTGCAAAAGGCAGCACGGATACAATTGTGTCACTTGATGAACTGTATTGCATAATTATTGTGCCGTATAGGCCTAATCACCTACAGGATATGAGCACTGTCTTTCTGCAGCAATCAGCTGAAGCTCATTTAAAAAAAAAAAAAAAAAAAACCTTAACAATAATACTTGGTATCAAACTGTGCCCATTCCAGCGATATCACAAGATGCATGAACAAGCGAAAAGCATTAAAGAGGTGGAATGAGATAATGACATCAATTAAGACAATGGCGTTAATCCTTCAGCCCTCTGCGTGATGCTCGTAGAGGATCGGCATTTACGGCGCCTTTTGCTCACTGCAGCCCGCTCTCACTAAAAGACCTCTCAAGCTTTAAGAGGAATGCAATTTTTCTGACAGCTCTTTATTGTATGCAAAGGGTTTTGTCTGATCCTTTGAAAAGAGGGCTTCCACCAAAGCTTAAGCGCAGACAGTTTCACTCTTGTTCATTAAAAAAGAAAAAGAAAAATGATCTTGAATAGGCTTCAGTTCATCCGTGACCCTAAGGAGGACACAAACACGACAGAAAATAGGATGGAAGGATCTAAATATATTATTTCCTACAAGCTGTTATCATAGTTTCGTACAAAAGATCTCAAAGGGGTATCGCATGAAATGGAGTGAAATAAGATGTCACTGAAAATCTTTGTCACCATACTACTAACCTATTGATCACGAATGATAGCAGCAAACCAGTTGGTGACTCGTTAGTGACTCGTGGCTAACATTAGCACATGATCCTACGGTGTGAAATTTACAGTCAATTCCTGGCTTGGCTATGATGATGATTATTATTCTAATTATTCGAAGTAATATTTTTCAGGAAGTCGATTTTCAAATTACGTTACCACTGGCACATTCAAATTTCGATGTGCCACAGGCAGTACAGTGCTAGCTTAGAGTGTGGCACTTCCTAAACGTCATATTGTACAGAGTTTTGAAAATTATTGTGGGAAAAAAAAAAGATTTTTTTGTTTTAGTTGTTTTAACATCAATACTGCCTGCCACAATGCATCACACTTCAAACAGAGGACCTGTTCCTAGTGACATGAGTTTTTAAACAAGCTACGTTAGCTTCTCACACTAACTGCTAGCTAGCTGCCGACTCAGCCATTTGCTTGCAACTTGTATCGGTATATTGTTACCCGGTATGGAGGGATGCTTAAATGTTTTACATTAAAATAATGTTAAATCATTGGATGCTTTCCTCTGTCAAGTTTAATCCAAACGGAATTAAAACGCTTCTCTCAAACTAAATTACATTCTCACAATCCAATATCTTCATAACAACTCTCCTCTGTATTCCCCGGTGACCAATGAAGCAATTTTCTCATAATTGCACCGTAAGAATGAAGTCCAAATTTTTTGTGCGACTACGAAGCACCTATGAGAAAGAGCGCCTCGTACGCTGTGCCTTATTTCTTTTGTGATGGCTGCGTTCACTCAATAAGCCATTAAGGATGGAAGAACACAATGAAAAAGTAATGAAGCATTCGAAAACAGGAGTTGGAGCCAGACAAAATACTTTTCACTGAAGACTGATATGTTTCATGGACTAACCAGCAAATCATCACAAATTAAATACAATTCTCTGACACCATTTTAAACCCCATCCTCGATTGTGAATAATACTTAACAGTGCTGTGTTTTAATGTTGATCACAATGAAGGTCCTGATGAAGTTTTTCTTTTTTTTTTTTTTTTTTTTTGAGTTGGTAACGTGCTCAAGACCCTCTGGGAGAAGCGATAAATGGTACAGATGTTTACACGCATCCGCACTTGCCAATTCATTCTCGTAAAGGCCCAAATTCTGCTGCCACTCAGCCAGCGCAATCATAAGATGACCAAAGTCTCTTTTTTTTAGATGCGGAAGGATGGATGGTGTAATTGCATTCAGTGGAATTGGAATATTGAATTAATTACCGGGTTTCGGTGGGCTTTAAATACAAGACGCTAAGTAATTAACTCGCGCGGCGCGCTTCTGCAATTAAACCTCTTTGCACATATCATATTGATGTTGTGTACATGTTGCATTTTTATGAGTGCACGTTCATGTTTCTTCCGAGAAGGAAACAAGTTGAAGAGCAAACTGTGATTGCGGTTTGCACACTAAAGAGTTAAAAGCAGCTCAGAGGCACTCTGCCATGACCAAGAGTAAGAAACACCGCTATTGATTACTCAAATTAAATCTGCAGCTAAAGTGATTTATTCCATGATCGTTAGTTAGATATCGATTCACGACACAACTTGTTGGCCTAGTTATTGTAGTCTGTGTGCTCTGGCTGCATTGAGAAAGATTAAATATTTAGACCATTTTAAACCATACTGAGAGCAAGGAGGAGGCCATGTTTTCTTCACTGTGTTGTTGATTTTTTTATTATTATTTTTTTGCTACGGATGGTACTTATTTACCGCAGTTTTTGATGTACCATTGTCCAGACTCATCTTGACCAAACAAAACCGTACAGTACATATTTTATGATTCCATTGAAAAATGTGGCCAAATATACGAGCCATTTCTTCAGCACTAATTCAATTGCCACAGTGGTGCAGTTTCAGTCCACCTACAGGATAGAACATCTCCAGATTCATTTAATTTGGGTTTATTTGACTGTAAACAAGTTTCAATTCTTTTTTTTTAGCTGATGAAACAATCTCAAGAAGCTACGCTAATGTTTTGGCAGTTTTGACTCCCATAACCCGCCAAGCTCCGAAGTGAACTGCGCGAGAAAGCCGAAGCTCACAATTGCCCTCGTTTGCTCTCTTTGTCTCCATCTCTTCCGTCTCCAGACGTCGCTGATCAGGATTATCAAGAACGCAGACGAGAAACAAGCTTAGTGAGCATGAAGCTGCCTCTGTGCCCCCCCCTCAAAAAAAAAAAAAAAGTGAGAATTAACGTTTCCAAAATAAGGGGCAAAAGATAGAGAGGTAAAATAAAGCCCTGTGTAAGCACAAGAGGATTTAATTAAGCTTTAAGTTGCATTGCAACCACACGGAGGTCGCCGGATGCTGACTCGAGGGCACTTAACATGCAAGCAGATAAATTCACTGCCGTTTGTTTATGCTTTGACGTGTCTTTTTGTATGTGATGGAAAGCTGCCAGAATATCAATGTCCAAAAGCGTAAATTATGGGCATGTGGAGCGTGTACCCCCTTTGGGCTTATCTGGTTCTCTAGCTTGCAGAGGACACGGCCGCCTGTTAATTATGCTGTCATCATTGCTTCGGTCGATCACGATTATGGCATCAATCTTTTGCGGGTAACGTTTGGTCAAAGCCTAATGATTCTAGATTAAGGCTCTCAATCAAGCCTTGGGGGGGAAAAAAAGCAAATGTTGGGCTATTTGCTAATGGGTCTAATTTTATTATGGAAGAGCTAGCTTACGTCGATTGAATTTGAAATGGGGTGATTTTTGATGCTACGAACACAAACCCAATTATTAGCGTTTGGGATGTACAGTAAAGAGCTATGGAGGGCCACACCGGATGTCTCTCGTAATGATTGAGGACAGCACAGCAAGAACGAGATCAAAAATTCATGGAAAGGACGTGATAAAAGTAGCTCCCTCTGATTTGGCGTGTTCTCTGCATGTTCCGCCTTTTAAGTTCGTTAATAAAACACCTTCGGCTTGTTTCCCGTCGTCCAGCTGATAGGCGTCACACTCACTGTCGTTCTGTTCAGATCTTTCGCGGTACGAAGTAGCTCCAGACGTCGCTGATCAGGATTATCAAGAACGCAGACGAGAAACAAGCTTAGTGAGCTTGAAGCTGCCTCTGTGCCCCCCCCACCCCCCACCCCAAAAAAGTGAGAATTAACGTTTCCAAAATAGCAGGCAAAAGATAGAGAGGTAAAATAAAGCCCTGTGTAAGCACAAGAGGATTTAATTAAGCTTTAAGTTGCATTGCAACCACACGGAGGTCGCCGGATGCTGACTCGAGGGCACTTAACATGCAAGCAGATAAATTCACTGCCGTTTGTTTATGCTTTGACGTGTCTTTTTGTATGTGATGGAAAGCTGCCAGAATATCAATGTCCAAAAGCGTAAATTATGGGCATGTGGAGCGTGTACCCCCTTTGGGCTTATCTGGTTCTCTAGCTTGCAGAGGACACGGCCGCCTGTTAATTATGCTGTCATCATTGCTTCAGTCGATCACGATTATGGCATCAATCTTTTGCGGGTAACGTTTGGTCAAAGCCTAATGATTCCAGATTAAGGCTCTCAATCAAGCCTTGGGGGGGAAAAAAAGCAAATGTTGGGCTATTTGCTAATGGGTCTAGATTAAGGCTCTCAATCAAGCCTTGGGGGGGGGAAAAAAAAGCAAATGTTGGGCTATTTGCTAATGGGTCTAATTTTATTATGGAAGAGCTAGCTTACGTCGATTGAATTTGAAATGGGGTGATTTTTGATGCTACGAACACAAACCCAATTATTAGCGTTTGGGATGTACAGTAAAGAGCTATGGAGGGCCACACCGGATGTCTCTCGTAATGATTGAGGACAGCACAGCAAGAACGAGATCAAAAATTTATGGAAAGGACGTGATAAAAGTAGCTCCCTCTGATTTGGCGTGTTCTCTGCATGTTCCGCCTTTTAAGTTCATTAATAAAACACCTTCGGCTTGTTTCCCGTCGTCCAGCTGATAGGCGTCACACTCACTGTCGTTCTGTTCAGATCTTTCGCGGTACGAAGTAGGGAACAGAAAAATAAACGTTCCTAAAATGTCAAAGTAAGCGAGGGCCACTATGAGTGCGGGCCGCCGGCTGCCCATTGCTCAGAGAATAAAATAGTGGTTCTGTTCAATTAGGATGAGAACAAGTTTTGAGAATTTGAAGGTTCGACTGCCCGCTACTTACCATTGCTAGTGGTACGATGCCACCCAGGTCCTGCGGTGCCAGGCGGATGATTGTCTGCACCTCACTTGTCTGGGTGCGGGTGAGCGGATACTCCACCTGCCAAGTCACCTCTCTACCGCCCTCGGGCACCATCAGCCCGTTCACCTCCAAATCCACCTGCAAGACTCGCTGGTAGCCCGCCGCCTCCCCTCTGGATATAGGCGAGAAGGGAAAAAAATATGAGTCAGTAGTGGATTTAGATGTTAACAAAAGAAGGGGGATGGCCAACAATGAGTGAAAATGCCAGCCAAAAGGGAAGATAAAGAAATGCAAAGGCAAAAGTGAAAAAGCAGAATGAGGTAGAAATCAGGTGAGAGACAAAATGGGGAAAGGAAATAACATGGGGAATGGATGAGGTGAACAGAGGAGCAAAAATATGATCATGGATTAAGTGGAACGCGACACGGAGAGATAAGAAAAAGAGGTTAGCGGAACAAATGAAAGAAGGGAAACTGAGGAGAAAGCAGAGAGAGAGACGTGGAATGGCGAAGGACAAAACGGATTGGTTAGAATGTGAATTTTGAAAGAAACTTGATCAGACCTTGGGACTAATGGCTCAGATTGCTCTCCAAAGTAAACAACAGCACGAGTAATTACTACAAACATCTTTAAATAATAGAAAATAGTATGACAGTGGCAAAACCCTCAAGTTAGCTTCATAGCAGGTTGTTGACTGTGACATATTTATACAGCCACAATTTTTTATGACGTGAGTACAACTGACTTCATGTCATCCACAGTAATTGAATTGGGGGATTACCGACTAGACTGTGGTGAAAGTGGAAGTCGATTCATCAATGACGTATGTTTTGTGTGTGTTTAGGGAGGGGTGGGGGGAGGGGTAGCAATTTGGAGCCTGCCATGGAGAGTTTGCCAGTAAAGAAAAAAAAAGTTTTGTATATCAACTGGCAGACATAATTTCTCCTTGAGAATGTCTTGATAAACTTGTAAATTCATTTTTATGTCAATGATAGCAATGTGTCCAGGCCCTGAAGTAACCAAGCAGTCCAAAATCGATAAAACCAAAACTATCCCTCCACCATACTTGATAGTGAGCTCTTCCGTGCAAGAAAACTCAAATCTGCCATGTGTTTTTATCAAGAGGGCAGCTTAAACAAAAACTTCCAAGCTTGTCAAATTGATTGAACTCTTGTTTGGCTGACCCTTGACTCTGATTAGCTTGCGACGAAGTCATCAACCCATGGGTTCACGTTCTTATTCCACCCAGCTCATAGATGTTTTCATGCTATGTTCAGTTCAAACATGGAAATTTAAGTTTTAGTGTGGGTTTTAGTTCAAGCGGACTGCGTGTCTATTCTCGTGATTCGGATGAAGGGCAGATCACTGTCTCGTCTTTTCTATCTCCAAGCCACCTGCAGTGTCATGTTGCTCTCAATAGAGGGCGGTACTCCCAATCTCTGGCCCCATGTCTTTATCCCTGATTGCGTTTTGGATGACAAATACAGTAAGTGCAGCACACAGGTTTGAGAGGGTCAGCTCGCTTCCTCTGTGTCCCATCGCAAACATGACCATGGCACAATTATCCCATGGAATTCAATAGGTTCACAGCAGCTGACATGGAAGCAAGCGTGTGGGGCTTATAGCTGCTTTCATGAGGTGCAAAAATCCATCTTTTTTTTTTTTTTTTTTGGGCTGATAGTTCGGTGACATCGCACAAACAAGGTAAAAGAAGCCTTTCAAAAAGAAATAGACTCACATTCAATTACTGTATGATACATTTCAAACTGTCATGGCAAAAGTAAATAAAGAGCCGCCCAGTAGGACATACACAGCAGAGGAGGATGAAAGTGTGGCAGACAAACACAACAGGCTTGTTAAACACATTGAAACGTTTTTGTCCCTCCTAAGACCTTAGTGGATATCTGCAGGCTCTGTGAGGAAGGTAGTGAAAAGAAAAGTCTGCTGCCTTTCACAGAACCCCGAGTTTTGTTTTTTTTTTCTCCCTTTTATGCGGCAATGATTTTGTGAGCCTGGCAATGTGATACATCAAAAGGCAGGAATAAAGTCCACAGGAAAGACTCGACATGTCAGTCAGTTAGGGGGGCAAGGTTTGCTTGTTTGGACTAAATCACAGAAGATTCTTTAAGTGGACACTTTTCAACTTTGTGTTGACCAGATGGGACGGTTCCATGTGCCTCAGTTTAGCCAGTTTTGTGGAGATTCATTTTGAGTTAGATGTTTTGCTTGGTTGCTGTGCTGTGGTCGGATTCAGGTGGTGCATTCTAATGGTGAATTAAAAAAAAAAAAAAAAGGATTTACCGTATTTTCCACACTATAAGGTGCCTCTAAAAGTATTAAATTTTCTCAAAAGCCATCCGTGCGCCTTATAATCCGATGCGCCTTATATACAGATCAATATTCTGATTTCTTGGATGGAGTATTTTAAGGGTTCTGTAAAGCGCAGCTGCAGCGGTTGTGAAAGTTCGATATTAAGAAAGCTGTATTGTATTGCATTGTATTTCCATTAGCGTAGCTCCATCTAGTGGATGAATATGCAACTGCAGCCACGATTGTAGCTTCTAGTCTATGCGCCTTATGATGCGGTGCGACCTATATATGAACACAGTTTTAAAATGGGCCATTCATTGAAGGGGCGACTTATTCTCCGAAGCGCCTTATAGTGCGGAAAATACGGTAATTTTTGGACATGACAAATGAAGTTATGGTTCCACCCTTTTCATTAAAAAAAAACAACATATGTTACGTTGGACAAAAAAAAAAATCATCAAATGTTGATATTTATGTTTTCTGCTGATAACAAATTGTGTTTAATCACATTCATTTCTGATGATTTCATTGCTCTGAGAATGCATTCTAAAGTCCACTCAAGTCATTTAAATTGCTGATGCTGATTCTGTTGTTTGTGTTGTTTTTTTTTTTTTTACAAAACTAACAAACCAGTGGCTGGAGGTGATGTGGAGCCGCAGTTTTGTGAGAACAAGCAGCAGGAGTTGTCATTTAATTGCTTTTGGACATTTACTGTCTTAGACTTCCTGCAAAAGACAATTAAAAGTTTTGTTTTGCTATATACATGCAAATCTTCTCATTTACCATGTGACTCATCCAGTGATTTTTCTGACCGGGAATTTGGTCCAGTTCCAAACTCGCAAAGAATCATCCGGCCACACAGAGCCCAGTTGAGTTTTCGCTTAGAGTACAGCAATTTACCAATTCTGTTCCAGATCTCTTCGCATGAAGAAACGGTATTATGAATTTTTATTTATTATCCCCAATGAACAATCTGGGCCAACTATTTATTGAACTTTTTGCTTTTTCATTTCCCTGCGTGTCATGATGTATTATTGTTAATGAAGGGTTTATTCAACGATATAAATAACTGCAGTAAAGTCAATATGACAGGATAATGAGTTACTTTGTGACGGACAGGCCTATTACAAGCCATAAAACGCGTCCAAGCAAAACGGAGGTCAGAGAGAGAAACATCAAGTGTGGAAAACAACATCTGTTTGAGAATGTGTTTCAAGGAAGTGCACATGTTTTATTATATAAAACCGCACGTAGAAATCATGAATTATGTAACCAAGCGAACAGCTGCTTCATTTCAAACCTGACAGCCGCCTTTGCACCATAACTGATGCTTACATTGAATAAATCCGTCAAGCCAGTTGTACTTCCACTGAATTATTGTTCAAAGAATAATTTGGATTTTTTTCTTTTGTTTTTTTTTTTTTTTTTTAAACTTCCAAACCATACTTTAATCTTGACTTTTGATTATCCGTTGGAGAGGCAGAAGGAGGGACGGGGGGGCACCATTTTCAGCAGCACAAGTCAGTACACATCACTTCCAAAGTACATTAATTTAGTGGCCCCCCCCAGCAAATCAAACCATAAAACCTACGCGCTGTGTTGGCTTAATTTTAAAGAAGACCTTTATTTTGGTGACGTTCAAGCACCTAATAGTAGTAGTTTGATTTGTGGACGTGAATAAACAACTGTCTAACTGAGCATCTTGAATCGAGCAAGCTAATTACACAGTATCTACGCAATAACAGTGTCGATTCGGGCTTTAGTGCCTTCCGTGCATTTTCTTGTTTTGTTCAGGATGTAATCACTGTTCTCTCTTGCTTTCTGAGCACGGCTTTCTGTGACTTTATGGGTCATTTGCAATTGCAGCTGTTTTAATTACTCGTACTTGATTGTGCCCAGCTGTGACACGGCCGAGTCCTTCAAAGAAGGGAAGATTTTTTTCTCGAACTTTGCTTCTGGCGCCGTTGCCTTCAGCCATTGAGTAACGTATTACCTCCGCCTTGGAAGTTATGTTTGGAACAATGGAGGTGTGACTGTTTGATGAAGTGCAACTTGGTACAGACGCGGCTAAAGGATTTTTTATTTTTTTTTCTCTCCCGGGGTACAACGGTGGCTTGACAGATACATATAAGGGGGCTGAGAAAATTCTTCATATCTATATACGTCTATCGATCGATCTATCTATCTATACATAAATAGATAGATTTATTTATATTTATTTATTATTTTTTTAATATAAAGTAAAATACTGGAGGTGCTTAACTGGGGCTATACATATGTCTGATGAGGCTACAGCGCCCCCCTATCCCGTATATCCTTTTGAATATGTGGTTGGCATATTCAAATTTTTCAACATGAATTTGATGTCATTTGCTTTGCCTCAACCAATTAATTACTCAGATGATCATATTTCCAATAAAAGCCAAATCATAGCTATTTACTCATTGACTTTGCAGGAGATAATGTTAAAAAGCCCCCCCCACCCAACCGCTCTCTCTCATTGGCTGTGCCCTCGTGACAAAGTCAACATGGTCGGTCAGGTCATAGGTGATGCCCACTGCTCCCATCAGGGCATCGGTCCGATGTAGATTTGTCTTTTTGTCATTGCCTTCTTGTCACGCGGCAGACAGGGAAAGCCGCTGCGCGTTAATCGTGGAGTTCAACAGTCACTGACCTCACTTTGTGAGTATGAAATTAGATCACGGTGGAGAAGGGGGGTCATTATCATGTAATGGTGTGTGTGTGTGTGTGTGTGTGTGTGTGTGTGTGTGTGTGTGTGTGTGTGTGTGTGCGCGTGCGTGTGTGTGTGTATGACTCATGGGAATCTAGGCTCCTATCTAATGAGTTTGAGCACATCAGGTC